GGAAGGAATTTCTTTGCCGGCAGTCGTTCGCAACATTTTACCTAATTTGACCTATTTAAAGTTGCGTAATAAGTCAAGGTCAAGCACCGTATCAACGGAACAGAGATTACCGGATGAGGTATCAAATTGGGTGGAATTTGATAAAGAAGTATTAGAGTGGCGTCCGGAAGTCGATAAGAAATACCAAGAAGCAACGTTTAGCCGGCGTCGTTTGGTCACTTGTGAAAAGGACATCTGTACGGCATCAGATGTAAACATACATGAGACCTTAACTCCCCTTGATCATTCAATCCTTTTCTTGGATGGTCGTGCTTTGGAGAGTATAGTCGGGCAGCCTGATTTCATAATAGTTAATGACAATATGATGCTACTCTTTCTAATATGCCTCAAGTCTTTCAACCATTCACATACCAAAATCAAAATCCTGGTGATTTTCAACATTCTAATAGTATATGCAAAATAATGTATTACTTCAAATAATCGTGCAGTATCTTTTTGTAGTTTATTTAAAAAGTCACATAAAGGATAAAGTATATATTGTAATGCAAAAAGAGTTATCCAGAATTCTGAATCATTTATAGTATCAGCAATATCATCAGGGAGTTTTCGATTATTATTATAAGTTGAAGATTTATTTGCCATTTTGATATATTATATTAGCTCGATGTAGGTTGAAATTTTGCTGAAATAAACTAAAATAATAGAATATTTTTATATTAATATATGCTTAGTATTAATTAATAATATTATTAAATTAACATTATAATATTTACCTTTAATGCTGCTTGAGTTTTTAAAATTGAATAAAAATAACTATTCCATCTAGTATTACCTGAAGATACTAAACATATATATTTATTATAAAGTCTCATTTACTTATCATGAAGATTATCAGTAAAAAATACTGATTTATTAAAATAATTAACTAATCGAACTGCTTCTTTTGATACTCTTTGATATAATGCTTATTCTTTAAAAATTTTACCAAAAATAAGATTCATTTGGTGAGCCATATAGAGTAAAAATATTTTGCTTAGATATTGTCTTTTCATTTATTACCTAAAATAAAGTCAAGTTATTAACTATTAATCTTATTCTAATTTATAATAATTAACTATTTAAAAATTTACCTTGCT